TATAGGTTTATGATTCATCTTGAATGCATTTTCGTGTGGGCTATGTTTCAAGGTTCATTTTTGACCACGACATTTAACTAATTGTTCCAATACTGATTATAGTAAAGACATTTCTTACCACATTGAAATGCCACAGTAGCTTGTCAAAAATCATTAAAAATATCTGTATTATTCTATTTCTAATTCTCTATTCTTGTACCATTGGCCTGTTTGTATATTTAATCTATTAGCATACTATCTTGTTTCATGGCTTTACATTAAGTTTTCAAAGCAGAAATCAGGTAAAGTGAATTCTCTAATTTTCAAATTATTTATCAAGCTTATTTTGGAAGTTCCATTTACTTTGCATTTTCAACTTTAAAAAAAAGTGTGCTGAGATTTTGAATGTTATTTCATTAAATCTACAGATTAATTAGAGGATAAATGACTAACTGTAACATTTCCACGATGATTCTTACCGGAGATCAAGGGCAGTCCAGAAGAAATGAGAGAGGAGATAGTGGAAAGCCCAAGGTTGGTATAGAATCACTGACAGAGGAGAAAGTGCACCCCAAGTTGTTCAGGTTGAAAAAGAATCCTGATGGATGAGTACAAACTACAGGGAAAGAGGCTTAAAAGACTCAAGGATATAGTCTTGCAAAGGCAATGCTTCAGAAGAGGAAAGGCTAAAATGGAAGCAATAGCAACCCTTTCAAAACTTGCAGTAAAGAGAAAAAGAGGCAAGAAATACATATTTAGGATCTTTCAAAATGAAGCAATGTCAAATATCCAAGGACATAGGACCACTCCTCATTTTCACTACATAAGCCATTAGATAAATAAATTGTACATTGCTCTGCTGACAAGGGTGATTGTGAACCAGCAATCTTATAGGCCACTCTATACTAACAGAGTGGTACAAGCACAAACAGTTCTGGGGTGAGCCCAAGATTTCAGCACCAATTTTATGAGGTCATATTTCTGAGGTGCTCTGCCTCCACTCTGTTCCTGGTAATTTCTGCCTCCCTGGAACTCTATTTTTTAGTCTTTCAGTCAAAAGTCTTGACTCTTAGTTTTGCCATTTTGATATGCATGTCCCATGACTGCACCCATATGCAAAACCATGCAATAAATGCTTAGAAAGAGAAAAAGCAATGAGTGTGCATGACTCTCTTGGAACCACAACTCCTCAGATCACAGAAAAAGACATCCAGTGCTACTTCTGTTGCTGACACCATTGCCCTAAAAGGAAATTTGAGAGAAAAACTGTATTCCCCCACACTCTCTATGTGTTATTAGTTATTTTTCTCATCCTCAAAGCAGAGGAGCTCCAGAGGGCTTCTCCTGAAGACGTACATTTGTGTCTAGGACACACTTTCAAGTTTTGGGTTGTATTAAGTTCAGGTTGTGGAATACTGGAGAAAAATAAAAATCAAACTGTGACACTCACTGCTGGTCTAGGTTTTAGAGCTGCATTTATTGTGAGAGACAGGGTGCAGTGCATGTATTTCAACTTACCCTGAAGAAATGCCAGTTTTATTTTGTGTTACCTCTTGTTTTTCCCTCTGAGCATTGGTGAGGTAGCCCATTGACATGGACAGGGTATGGACAGCTGTCCCATGCTCCTAATTGTGAGGTGCTTTGAAGTGCAGCCTTACTAACAGGTGGCAGTGGTAGCAGCTCATCGCTTTAGTTTTAGTCTTTTAAAAAGTCTTTGTTTAAATGACTTACGTGTATGTATGCATTAGATAATATTGGTTTATATTCTATGAGCCATATTGTAAATCGTTTTAAATTAATTATTTAAATGCCATTGTAATTTGTTAATATGACACTGTTACAGCATATAACACATAACATAGAACATAAAACATTATAATTTTACTTTTATCCTCATTTTTATTTTAGTTTTAGATCTATTGCGATATATGTTAAATGCTCACCATTGGTGTTCTTGTTAAACTGTCCCCAATGATTTCTTGGTTACAGGAAGCTTGTACTCTAGTAAATTGTTCATGAAGGGCTTGTGGTTATAGAATTTCCTAATTCTTTGCATATTAAAAACTATTTATCTATAACCTTGATACTTATTTCCTTGCATTTTTAAAAATGCATCTTTATTGTTGTCTTTCATATGTGTTCTTCTTATGAAGAGAAGGATTTGAGGATTTATTCTATTTAAGATCTCATGGTCTATCTACTAGATAGACTTTTGTGGGCCAATTCTCCCTGGTACATGGCAAGTCCTTTCAGTATTTTGGTACATGTTTTCTTTTATTTTTGTAACATGCTTTTGGATTACAGTTTTACATATTACTTCTTTTTTATAGTTTTGTTTTTTATCTTTAGAGATTCAAATTATAATTAAGTCATGTCTTCTTTCTTTGTCTTCCACCTCAAACACTTTCTACATGAACCTCTTTACTTCTTTCTCTATTCTACGTTCATCTCTTGGTTATGATTCTGTTTTGCTCCTACGCCCTTTATTAAATTTTCATTGGAATTCATTTTTTCTTGGGAAGATTATAATTTATTCTATATTTCATATGATTTTGGATTTTTCTTCTGTACCTTTCAGTACTTTAATCAAGTATCATTTTCTTTTTTGCTGCTTCTTGTCTATCTATTTTCTTGGTGTTTAGATTTCTGGTTCAAGGTGGGATTCTTCTATACTCCCAAATGCTTATGGGATAGTATTTAATTAAATCTGAAATGTTGTGTCATAGTTTTCTTCTGGTTTGTTATTGTTTTTGTGCGTGTGAAGGGAAGTGTTAACCAACCAAAAACTTTTGATTCTCATTTCTATTATATCAGATTTTTAGTTTTGATTTAATTTTTTTATTTGTATGCTAGTTTTGTATAAATGAATATCGCTTGTACCTATGCCTGCATTTTGTTAGTATAGAGTGGTCTATAAGATTGCTAGTTCACAATCACCCTTGTCAGAAGAGCAATGAACAGTTTATCTAATGGCTTACATAGCGAAAATGGGGAGTGGCACTATGTCTTTGGATATTCAACATTATTTCATTTTGAAAGATCCTAAATATGTATTTCTTGCCTCTTTTCTTCTTTACTGCACATTTTTCAAACGGTTGCTATTGCTTCCATTTTAGCCTTTTCTCTACTGAAGCATTGCCTTTGCAAGACTGTATCCTTGAGTCTTTTAAGCCTCTTTCTCTGTAGTTTGTACTCATCCATCAGGATTCTTTTTCAATCTGAACAACTTGGGGTACACTTTCTCCTCTGTCAGTGATTCTATACCAACCTTGGGCTTTCCACTATCTCCTCTCTCATTTCTTCTGGACTGCCCTTGAACTCTGGTAAGAATCATCGTGGAAATGTTACAGCTGGTCATTTATCCTCTAATTAATCTGTAGATTTAATGAAATAACATTCAAAATCTCAGCACTTTTTTTTAAAGTTGAAAATGCAAAGTAATTGGAACTTCCAAAATAAGCTTGATAAATAATTTGAAAATTAGAGAATTCATTTTACCTGATTTCTGCTTTGAACGCCTAATGTAAAGCTATGAAACAAGATAGTATGCTAATAGATTAAATATACAAACACAAGCCAATGGTACAAGAATAGAGAATTAGAAATATAACAATATAGATATTTTTAATGATTTTTGACAAGGTACTGTGGCATTTCAATGTGGTAAGAAATGTCTTTACAATAATCAGTATTGGAGCAATTAGATAAATGTAGTGGTCAAAATGACCTTGAAACATAGCCTACACAAAAATCCATTCAAGATGAATCATAAACCTATATGTAAAATCTACAATTCTAAAGCTTCTGAAAGACCAAGAAAATAAGTCAGTGGTTTTGAGGAAGGCACTTACATCTTTTAAAGGACATGAAATGTAGTAAACATTTAAAATTTTGATAAATTGGACTTCATGAAAATTAAAAGTTTTTGCTCAGCAAAATACAGAATTAAGAAGATGAACACAGGCCAGTAGCAGTGGCTCACGCCTGTAATTCCAACACTTTGAGAGGCCAAGGCAGGGGGATCTCCTGGAGCCAGGAATTCAAGAGCAGCCTGGGCAACATAGTAAGACCCCATCTCTAAAAAAAAATTTTTTTTAAATTAGCCTGGCATGGTGGCTCATGCCTACTAGTAGCTAAGTAGTCCTAGATATTTGAGAGGCTGAGATATGAGGATCGCTTGAGCCAGGGATGTCAAGGCTACAGTGAGCCATGATTGTGCCACTGCAGTCCAGCCTGGGCGATGGCAAGACACTGTCTCAGAAAAGAAAAAAGAAGATGAACAGGCAAGTCACATCTGAGAGAAAATATTTACAGTACATGTATCTGAAAGCAGCCTTAAATGTAGGCTATTAAAGAACTCTTAGAAATTAACAATAAAACACAAACACCTCAATTAAAAGGGCAAAAAATTGGACACTCACCAAAGAAGATACAGCAATTGCAAATGAGCAGAGAAAAATTTGCTCAACATCATTTGTCATCAGAAATGTGAATGAAAACCATAATGAAATCATTCTTTGCATCACAAAATGACTAAAATAAAAAAGACTGACAATGCGAAACGCGACACAATTATGGAGCAACCAGCAGTTTCATACATTGCTGTGGGAGTGGGAGTGGTATAGTCACTGTGGAACATTGTTTGGCTATTCTTATAAAGTGAAACTAAACCTACATGATAAGCAGCAATCCCACTCCTAAGCATTTACCAAAGATAAATGAAAACATATGTCCACAATAGACATTTACGTAAATGTTTATGTAAGATTTGTCCGTAATAGCCCCTAACTGGAAACAATGCAAATGTGTCTCAATAGAAAAATGGATAAACAATTTGTGGTATATTCTTACAGTGGAATACTATTGAGCAATAAAGAAGAATGAGCTACTGATATATGCAAAGCATAGAAATCTCACATACTCTGGACTGAAAGAAGCCAGACACACAAGACATATAATGTAGAATTCCATTAAGGCCAATTAAGGTCAAACAGAGGCAAAACTAATCTAGCATTGGTTTTGATAGGGCTGCCTGTGGGAAGTTAGGAGCCTGGACAGGGCATGAGGAAATCTTCTGAGGTGTTGGGAATATTTGACATCTTGTTTGTGGTGGTGGATACAAAGGTTGAGGCATTCACTAAAGCTCACCACGTCGTTCATCTGCTATCTACATAATTCACTCAAAGTAAATTTCATGTATTTATTTGTTTGTTTTTTTATTTTTAAGAAACAGGGTCTCCCTCTGTCACCCAGGCTGGAGAGCAGTGACACGATCTCGGCCTACTGCAACTTCTACCTCCCAGGCTATAGCGATCTTCATGCCTCAGTAAGTATCTGAGACCACAGGCAAGCACGACCACGCTCACTCATTTTTGTATATTTTGTAGAGACAAGGTTTTGTCATGTTGCCCAGGCTGGTCTCGAACTCCTTAGCTCAGGCAATCTGTTTCCTTGGCCTCCCAAAGTGCGGGAATTATACTTGTGCACCGTGCCTGAGCTGTAAATTTCATGTCATTAAAAAGGCAAAAGAAAAAAAGACACCCAAAGTGAGTCCATACGCCAAATAAATTAAATGACACAAATAAAGACAGAGCAGCAATGCTTACAGCTATGTCACCTCATGCAAGTTACATAACTGCTCTGAACCTCAGATTCTTCTGTAAATTCAGGATCTGTATCTCGTGGGGTTAAGAGAATTACCTATGACAAGGAATATAAGTTATTTCCTAGAGGATTGGATGCTTAATGAGTAATCAGTATGTAGTCAATAAAATATTCTGTCTTATGGAGCCTTATACTTTGTCAAATAGTTAAGTATAACACTGTTTGTTCACAATACTTTATCTTTGTCTCTATTTCTGCATCTGTATATGCTTCTTCTCATCAAATGAAGTGTGAACTCCAGCCCTTCACCAGTTTCACAGAGTTCTCACTCTAAATATTTTGTGAGTCTGGTAATATTACTAACATCTTCTACTCCTCCTTCTTTTCCTTCTCCTCCATCTTTGAAGGAACTAGAAAATTTGTCCTCTCTGTGATGTACACAGCAATTCTATCCACACCAAGATGCTCGGAATATCACCTTCTATTATGAAATGCGTGTATGTGTGTGTATGTTTTCTTTCTAATAGGAGGATGATACTCTCTCTTACTGTAACAGTGTTTTCTGAGCATGTGACACTGATCTGCTTATTTTCTACAGTATCTACATTCCCATGCATCATGCTGTCTTCCTAATGCAGAGACCGTACATTGAGTGTCCGATATGCCCAGGCTCCTGCTGATCCAGCAAGCAACTGCAAACAGCTCTAGAAATGCTGTAACCCTGTTGTCCTGACTGGCCCCCGGTGAATGAGCAGAATTAGTTGATGATGGCTCCAAACTTTGCCATTGAGTGTTCAGATCTGCACTTTAGGGGGTTTGAATAGATGCAACAGCATCTATTGACAGCATCTAGAAGCATCTAGAAGACAGTTGGGGAAGAGCATCTAGAAAGTAGTTGGGAAACAGCAAGTGAGAAGCAGAGAGAATAGGTGGAAGCCACAGTTGGCAGAAGCCCTAAGGTGAATAGCAATCAGTCCATATGTGCTGGCCAGGATGTAGCTGAGAGCCTGAAAGGGAGAGCATGCAGCAGCAATAATTGACAACTGCTAAAGAAATCACTGGATACCCATGTTGCTGAAACTTGGTGAATGTTTAGTGATGTTCTACTTCTCTAGAAGGCCTGATTTCCAAATGCAAATGCATCTATTTCTCTGTGAACTGCAGTTCTAAATGTGTTGCCTTTATTTGTGTTCTAGCTTACCAATCTTATGCCCATTCAACTTAAGTGTCATTAAAGTCTCTCTTTGTTCTTTGCGATAAGAAAAGAGCCAATTAAGGCAAGAATAGAAGAGCTATGGAGATGTAGAAATTCATATAAATGTGTCCTAGTAATTCTGATTTATCTAAAAGGAGGATCCTGTCCCTTCTCTCTTTCTCTGACTCTCTCTGTTTCTCCTTTCATAAGCAGCTTCTTTCCTCTTCATTTCATAGGCATTCCTTCCATGGCCAAATATGATCAGAGTAGGCATGTACCCTTAACCCTGGGCAAAATCTCTTCTGTCATTTGCCAGGTATTTTATTCCACAATAGTTCAGGCTCAAGATGGCCAAGGAGTGAGTGTAAACTCTGACAAAGCGCAGAAGGCATTTTTCCCCTCATGCCTTTCTCGGAGACTTGATGCACAGGCTCTTAATTCTGCACCAGGATGGGGCCTCCTCCACATCCTTGTCTCTGTTAAAGTGGCAGGGGTGGAGAAGATCAAACACCGCATGTTCTCACTCATAGGCGGGTGTTGAACGATGAGAGCACATGGACAAAGGGAGGGGAGCACTACACACTGGGGTCAGTTGGGGGGAAATAGGGGAGGGA